TCGAAAGAGAGGTGCAAAAGGGATATTGCCTGAATGGGAAATTAGTTAGTATTCAACCACGAGTCATAGAGGCGACGGGGGCAATTCCGACTGTTCATTTTTCAGGAGAAAGATCCCGGAAGGAAGTGTTCGAAAGTACAAGCCGGTAGGGAGGAAAGCAAAACCGGTCTCGATCTTGCTAGAGACATCAAAGGAAGAGGCTATGGAGAAGGAGGAAGAGGTCCTTCGAGTGATCCGAGAAAGGAGGGCGACGGAAGGACATCGGATACCAGATGAGATAGCGGAGACAATGAAGATAGGGATAGACGGGTTCTTAACGGAAGAAGAAAACCGCCTGATCAAAAGGACCTGCCAGGAATTTCATCTGGCGTTTGCCTTTAGTGATCACCAGAAGGGACGACTAGATGCGAAGTTGATCCCTCCGGTCAGGATCCACACGGTAGAACATGAGTGCTGGAATGACAAGGGACCATCCTATGAATTTGGGATAGCGGGAGAGGTGATAGACCTCCTCCGAGCACAAATGGACTCCTTCGTTGCGGAGCCTACGACATCGCCATACGCAAATCGGTGGTTCGTCTTTCGGAAGCCTAACAAGACACTAAGGTGGATTCAGGACCTGCAGAAGTTGAATGCGGTAACCATCCGGGATGATGGCTCGTTACCTCAGGCTGACTTATTAGCAGAATCGCACGCCGGTCGGAGCCTTTACTCCCTGATAGATTTGTACTCAGGGTACGACCAACTTCCATTGGATGTTCGGGACAGGCCATACACCGCTATGCACACCCCGATAGGCCAGCTACAGATGTAGGTGACACCTATGGGATTCACAAACGCGGTGGCCAAAGCGCAACGCAAGATGCTCGCCGTGGCCGGGGACATGTTCCTAGAAAAATGTGAACCTTACATCGATGACAATCCGATCAAAGGCGTGCAGGAAAAGGATGAGACGAAAGTCCAGCCAGGGATCCGACGTTTTGTGTGGGACCACCTGCAGGACATCAAGGACTTACTCCACCGGTTCCTAGTATACAACATTACGGCTAGTGGACCAAAGAGTATCCTAGCAGTACCGGAGGTGACTATACTAGGATTTCGTTGCGGTACTTACAGCAGGAAGCCGGATCCAGCAAAGACCAACAAGATATCATAGTGTCCGACGCCACTGCGCACGACGACGGAAGTAAGGGCATTCCTAGGCGTGGTCGGCTTTGGGAGGATCTTTATTAAGAATTTTGCCAAGATTGTTGAGCCTATCCGGGCTATGATCAGGGAAGAAGGAACCATGGATTGGACGGAGGAGCGAGAAGGGGCTGTCCAAAGTCTCAAGGACATACTGACATCTGAGACAGTCGCCCTGTCCGCGCCTTGTTTTAATGACGAAGTGGGACGACCCTTCATCCTAGAGACGGATGGAGGACCTTTGGCCATAGGAGGTGTGTTGATTCAAAGGGATGAGGGAGGAAAAGAGAGGCCGATTAGGTTCGAAAGTAGAACCCTGAACTCCGCAGAACGGCGGTACTCACAATTCAAGAAGGAAGTCCTAGCCATCCTGCATTGCCTTAAGACCTTCTAGGCCTACCTAATTGGGAGGCGGTTCATCTTAAGGATCAATCCGACGTATGTCGCAGGGGCCCTAAAGAATTACAGGCCTATAGATCCGACGGTAGGGAGATGGGTAGGATTCATTTGGCAGTTCGATTGCAAGATCGAACGGATTGCTGGAATCTGCAACAAGGCAGATGGGCTGAGTCGGGTTTGCATCACTCCCGAAGGGATGGAGGATGCAGAGCCCATAGATGCCTTCCTCGAATACGAAGGAGGAACTCTTGCAGTGGATAACGAAATGATGAGCGAGGGATGCACATCGGGAGAACCATTGATCCAGACTTTGCAAAAGAGGGCACCTGCCGTAGTAGCTGAACTTAGGGAAGGTCCAGTTACCACTCGAGGACGCAGAGAAGAAAATGACTCGTGGGGAGCGATAGAAGGACCGAAGGAGGAGGTGATAGCAATGGCGGTCGAAGGGGGCCGGGAAGCAGTGATGAGCTTAGTGGAATCTTGGGAAAGGAAAAAGTTGCAATGGGTGGTAAATCAGATGCAGGAAGGAAAGGATGGGGGCAAGGAAGGAGAGGAGTTTTTTTATGTCCAATCATACGAAGGGCTCTTTTGGGAGATCGGTTTCTTGTTGGTAGGAAACAAACAACCTACGGAAGTCAGTATTAAGGCAAGAGAAGAAGTCGAAAGGTACGTCCTAAGGGGCGGGCACTTGTTCCGGAGGGAGGAAGGTGCTATGCCCATAAGGATTGTGTGCGGAAGGTCTGGGCAAGTAGACGTTATCCAGGCAATGCACGACGGGTTAGAGGGAGGACATTGATCTTCCAAAGGAACAATTGCAAAGATAACGCCGCTCTATTATTGGCCAGGCATGGCAGGCATGGTCGCCATATACTGCCAGACTTGCCTTATTTGCCAAGAACGAAGCTCGGTACGAGTCTTCGAGCCACTTAGACCAACGCGGGTGCTAGGGCCGGGACATCTGGTCCACCTCGACCTTGCGGTCATGCCTGTATCAACGGATGGATACAGGTATATCCTAGATGCGCGAGACAACTTGAGTAGGTTCGTAGAGGCAGTCGCCCTCAAGAAAAAGACAGGGAGGAGTGTGGCGGACTGGATAGAAGACTTCTACTTAAGGCACCCGTTCGTCAGGAGGTTTATAGCAGACAATGGGACGGAATTTGTGAACCAAGAAGTATTGGGGATGCTTAAGAGACTCTGCGTACCGATTAAACTCATCGAGCCATATCACCCTGAGGCCAATGCGCCGGTGGAAAAGGGGGCACCGAACCTTGAAGAACACGATTGCAAAGCTCGCAGCAGACCATCTGGCCTAGGTATCTTAAGCAGGCTGTTTTTGCACAGAATATGACTCCTAAAAGGACAACAAGATGTATCTCGGCAGAGCTTTGGTACGGAAGAGAGATCGACTTTCCTGTGGAAGCCTTGTTACCTACCTGGAATAGGTTAGATAATGATCCACAAATGACCACTGAAGAGTTAATCGAGGCAAGATGTCAACAAATCCTTAAGAATGAGGAGGTCATGGAAGACATCGTTAGTCGGGTGCTGGACAACAGAATGAGGGACAAAGCAAGGTGGGACCAGGTCAAGAATGTCAGAAAGGAGCCTTTTCAGGTGGGGGAGATGGTCCTGCTAAGGAACTCGGCACTAGAAAGTACTTGGTCGGGACAGTTGGAAAGGAGGTTCAAAGGCCCCTACCGAGTCGCCAAGTGGGTGGGACTGAACACCTTCGAACTGGAAGATTTGGATGGAACTGGATTGAAAGGGCCCTTCACGGGGCAACGACTGGTCAGGTTTCTAAGTCGGGACCTAGTGGAACAATGGCTTCAGGAGGCCGAAGATAAGGAAACAGAAGAGCCACAAGCTAAAGACTAACCACAACCTTGCCCACACTATGGTTTGTCTCTGACCATGTTCATGGGACTGTCATTTTTTTGGGACTGGTGCTTTGGCTTGGACTGACTGAGGTTGAAAGGTAGCATGACTTTGAGGTTGCAATATCTGGTTTGTGTGACAACGGGAAGGGATATTTGGGGTATTGTACCATAGTTTTTGACGGAAAAAATATGGGGTCATCACGAACGACGCATTCGCATGTATAAAAAGGGCGTGATGCGAGGGATACTGGGTGCATTCTGGGAATGTCTACCGGCCTCAGAGGGGGGGGAGGCGTAAGTGTATGAGGGACATTGCGGGTGTTGTTTTGTTATACAGGGCTTAGGAGTAAAACGAGAAAAGACAAAAATGAAATTCGGCAACGAGAACGACAGCGGGGCAATCAACATGCCTACTGGAAGGGAAGAAGCTGGACAAAGTCAAGGGAGGAGGACAACGAAGAGAAAATTATACATTGGGCTCATGGGCGAGCTAGTGGTAGGCAGGAGTGGAAGGAAATGTTTGTGTAGAAAACCCTCACCCCTCCGCAAGGGAGAAGGTATAGAAATATCATCCGACAGTGAGGGCGAAAAGGGAAGGGCAAATGTGGAAAAAGGAGGCAACACAGAAGTGAGAGATAAGGCTCAGGTCTCTAACGAGGAATGGGCCAACAGGGGCGAACGTCGTGAAACTTGGCATGGGGAAAGCGAGGGGGGACAAGGTATGCGCGACGAACGTGAGGAGGACGAGGAGAAAAGGGAGAGCCTGCTTGAAGGACGAAGCGGTCACGACAGTTGCGAGGGGTATGGGATGGGGACAGAGATCCCTTTTACCTACGATCCAAAGAACCTTGCTAGTGGGTATAGCTCAATACAGACTGAAGACGAGGGGGACAACGAGGAGGATGTGCGAGAAGTCATAGAAATCAGCAGCGGGGATGAGAGGGATGAGATCTCAAGGCCTAGGAAAGAGGGGCGGCCTCCGATGCACCAACCAGGCGATGGGGCTTTCAGATGGGAGGACAAGTTCGGGCCAACGCCCAGTCATTGGTTTCGGCAATGGACCAATGTAATCAAGCACGAATGGATTATCAAGACTCGGGAACTCGCAAGGGCAGGGGTGGAAGCCACACCACTGGATTTTTTCAACGAGGCTGAGTTGCATAAAATTGTAAGGATGAA